AACTTGGACCCTTGGGGGCTTTATTAAAACCACCTGCTCCCATGTCCCCTGACCCCCTTGGAGTGCTGGGCTCAGCTAGTTTAGGTAGGACCCCAGACAGCTAAACGAAGGCTCATCATTTTATGGGAATAATTCAGACTTGCCAAGTCATGAATTGGGTGCCTGCTGCAACTGCCTACATGCGAGTGTATCCCACGCCTCCTGTGGAGTGTCTGCATCAGAAGCTCAGTGTAGGGGCAGGAGGGACACAAGTCTATGTTTCCAGTTAGGGTCCCAGGCACGTCTGTGATCACACCAGTGTGCAAAAGTCGGACCACACATCATATAACCGGGATTCTAGCTTTTGGGGGGTTTTTGTGTGTTTTTGTTTTTTGCCCGTTCCAGATCTATGATCTCAAGTAAGTTCACCCTGTGAGTCTCAGTTTCCCAACTATAAAATACGAGAATAGGATGAGAGGACCTGAACTAGCCACACACGTCTTTGCTTCTGTGAAATCAAATAAGTTCTTTGGCTCCTCCTTCTTGACTGTCCTCAATAATTCTAGTATTTTTACACATCCAAAGTTCTTCATTTATTTCAGAAGAATTTTTTCTCACAAGTGAGAACCACCAAATTGGGCTTAAAATGATTAGTCCTCCTGACAGTATATAAAATGATTATGTTAAATGAACCCCAAACCATGTTCCCTTTCCTCTGCTAAAAGAATGAGTTTAATCTCCTTGTTTTTTATCTTTGAAGACATTGACTGGAGCTCCTTGCCGGAGGCATTTATCAGTAGGTCGGAGCAGACACTTGTTCCGGTCTCACACAGCCTGGGCTATCAAAACCTAATTCAAGGCCATGGTTAATAGAAGAGGGGATAACCTACATCAGCCAAGGGGAGAGGGGAAAGCATTTGCCTAGAATGAGGGGAGGATACAGTGAGAACCAAGGAGATTAAGCCATCAGAAATGGACTTCGTCTTTCCTGTGCTTTCTGCTCCATTCCTTAAAACATCAAAATTCTCTCCCCAGTTAGGCCAACTGCAAACGCCACTGAACCCGTTATGTTGATCCACATTCCAAACTTATACTCAGCCAGTAAACGTCTGCATAGAGCACACTGATTGACTTTTCCTTAAAAAGAAAAAAGAAAAAAAAAAGCATTTTTTGTTGAGCATTCATGAAGAGTAGGCTCTATGCTAGGCTTATGTGCAATAATTTATTTAATCCTCAGAACAACCCTTCAAAGTTCAGAGATTGTTGTTCCATATTTAGAAAGAGAGCGAAAGACTTAGAAAGGTTACATAACATGCCCAGAGCCGCACAGCCGGAATGTGAACCCAGCAGAATCTGGTTGTTGTGCCCACGCCCTTTACCCATTTTCACTGTGCTGTCACGCCACGAAATTGGTGAGGAACTTGCTAATTTAAACAAACCCTGCACAGGCAGCTCGCCTTCCTGCGCGTGGCCTGTTGCCATTCCTTTTATGTCGACATTCTCCTGTACCCACCAGGAGAGCTTTCAGAGAATATTCTCTTCTGATAGCACAACATAAAACATTTTTAACATTTGCCAATCAAATTTTTAGTTAACCTTTGGACTGAATGTCTCATCCTCCTTTTCCTTTCCTTTCATGGGATTCAGTTTATGAGGGAATGCTGGAATATGCTTGCTAATATTAAATGTTTGTATTCTTATAATAATGAACGGTTGCCGTGAAAATTGATGGGTGTGGTGAGTACATGGAATGATGGCATAAAAGCAGTAAAGAATCTGAAAGCTTTTCGAAGGACCAGTGTGTGTTATAAATGCAAGACTGTAGACAGAGGATGTGGTTTCAATACGTGTAAATGCTTCGCCTTTTTGCCTAAAAAAACAGTGAATTTGGCCAGGTGTTTTTTTTTTCCCCCTGTAATTGTTAAAAACAGTTTGTGTTAGAGCTATAATTGATGATAAAAATCCACAGTTCATTTACATGCTAGTTTGTGCTAATCAAACAAAAACAGAAACTTGGATTTTTGCCTTTTTCTGTAACCTCGCCCATCTTTAATAAGTAAAGCAGCACTAGGGTTGTGGAGTTGAGGTTGGGGCATAATAAGGAACCTGGATCATTCTCAAAATGGACAATGAAGTCTAAGTAATATTCTGGAAAAATCAAACGTTCCCAGTAGTAGTGACCTCCAGGGTTTGGGGCGTGGCTGTGTATACAAATCCAGGGTTGTTTGCAGTCTGGTGTTACTACCTTACCCTGGTAGACATTTGGTTGGAATATAAAGGTGAGGATTCCTTTTGGTGCTGAGAATTTGGATTTCCTTCTACTTTGGTCTTTGTAATTACTATATCAGCAATGTGTACTCCAAAATGAAGTCACAATTAATATTCATCAGACTCTTCAGTAATCATTATTTCTCACCCCTTAATATGTAGTGTTCACTATGGCAGACTACTCCTTGTTTCTAAAAAGAGTGACATATATACCTGAATTCCTTCTGCCCCATGATAATTTTCAAACAAAATATTTTTTTTAATTAGAATGTTTTAATTTTAACATCTAAAACTTAGAACACTTACATAAAAAACAAATAACTGGAGAAAAATGACATTGCTAACATTTTAATTGTTCTAACCGAGCCACTTTGGGAAACTACATTCCTTTAGCATTATGTTGTGTGTTCAGAGCATCTTTTAGTTTGGCTGTTCAATAACTTACTGAAGAACAGAGAATGAATAACATAAAGTGGCTCCTAATATGGTATCATTTTCATTTCCTGTTTGTTGAAAGATAAATGCTAACGCTGTAAGGCTTTTTTTTTCCCCCCTCTTAATTTATTCCTCCCTGAACCACAAGGGAATAAAAAGAAAAAAGAAAAATCCAGTGTGATCTGACTGGAGACTGAGTCATCATTTAGGATAAGCAGAGAGCTTTTTTTCTCTCGCTTTTGTACCCTTTCCCTTTCCTCTGCTTTCCCCCAGTTCCTGAAACACTTTTCTCCCTTAGAAACACCTCTAATTGAAAAGTCTTAGTTGATTTTTATTTTGGAATAATTTTATACTTACAAAAATAATTGATGTTTGAAAGATTTAAGCTTAATTTTGTGACAAAAGGAATGAGTCCCTCCCTCCCCAGTTCTGACATTCTCCCTCTCTTCCTTGCCCTCCTCCTCCTCCTCCCCCTCCCCTTCTTCTACTTCTACTTCTACTTCTTCTCCTTCTCCTTCTCCTTCTCCTTCTCCTTCTCCTTCTCCTTCTCCTTCTCCTTCTCCCTCTCCCTCTCCCTCTCCCTCTCTCTCTCTCTCT